GAGGAGTTGGTTCCATTCCTTCTGAAACTAGACTAAACAATACAAAAAGAGGGAATCCTTCCTAACCCATTTTATGACACTAACATCATCCTGATACTGAAACCAGGCAGAGAGTCAACTAAAAAAGAAAACTGCAGGCTAATATCCATGATGAACACAGATGTAAAAATCTTCAATAGAATACTGGCAAACTGAACACAACAGCACATCAAAAAGCTTATTCATCACGATCAAGTAGGCTTCATCCCAGGGATGCCAGGCTGGTTCAACATACACATGTCCATAATCATAATCCACCACATAAACAGAACCAAAGACAAAAACCACATGATTATCTCAATAGATACCGAGAAGGCCTTCAACAAAATTCAACAGCCCTTCATGCTAAAAACTCTCAATAAACTAGGTATCGCCAGAACATATCATAAATAGTAAAAGCTATTTATGACAAACTCACAGCTAATATCATGCTGAATGGGCAAAAGCTGGAAGAATTCCCTTTGAAATCAGGCACTAGACAAGGATGCCCTCTCTCACCACTCCTATTCAATGTAGTATTGGAAGTTCTAGTCAGAGGAACCAGGCAAGAAAAAGAAATAAAGGGTATTCAATTAGGAATAGAGGAAGTCGAACTGTCTCTATTTGTAGATGATATGATTGTATATTTAGAAGTCCCCATTGTCTCAGCCCAAAATCTCCTCAAACTGATAAGCAACTTCAGTAAAGTCTCAGGATACAAAATCAATGTGCAGAAATCACAAGCATCCCTATACACCAATAACAGACAGAGAGCCAAATCAAGAGTGAACTCTCATTCATAACTGCTACAAAGAGAAAAAAAAATACCTAGGAATCCAACTAACAAAGGATGTAAAGGCCCTCTTCAAGGAGAACCACAAACCACTGCTCAACAAAATAAGAGAAGACATAAATAGATGGAAAAACATTCCATGCTCATGATTAGGAAGAATCAATATCATGAAAATGGCCATACTGCCCAAAGTAATTTACAGATTCAGTGCCATCCCCATCAAGCTACCAATGGCCTTCTTCACAGAACTAGAAGAAACCACTTTAAACTTCATAGGAAACCACGAGAGAGCTCGCATAGCCAAGACAATCCTAAGCAAAAAGAGCAAGGCCAGAGGCATGACACTGCTGGACTTCAAACTATACTACAAGGCTACAGTAATCAAAACAGCATGGTACTGGTACTAAGACAGACACATAGACCAATGGAACAGAACAGAGGCCTCGGAAGCAACACCCCACATCTACAACCATCTGATCTTTGACAGACCTGACAAAAACAAGCAATGGGAAAAGGATTTTATGTTTAATAAATAGTGTTGGGAAAACTGGCTAGCTATGTGTAGAAAGTAGAAACTGGACCCCTTCCTGTAACCTTACACTAAAATTAACTCCAGATGGATTAAAGATTTAAACATAAAACCTAACACCATAAAAACTCTAGAAGAAAAGGTAGGCAAAACCATCCAGGACATAGGCATAGGCAAGGATTTCCTGACTAAAACACCAAAAGCAATGGCAACAAAAGCCAAGATAGACAAATGCGATCTAATGAAAATTCATATCTTCTGTACAGCAAAAGAACAATCATTAGAGTGAACCAGCAACTAATAGAATTGGAAAAAAAATTTTGCAATCTACCCATCTGACAAAGGGCTAATATCCGGAATCTACAAATAATTAAAACAGATTTACAAGAGAAATCTAGCAAACCCATTCAAAATTGGGCAAAGGATATGAACAGACACTTCTCAAAAGACGTATATGAGGCCAACAAACATCTGAGAAAATGCTCATCATCACTGGTCATGAGAGAAATGTAAATCAAAACCACATTGAGGTATCATCTCATGCCAGTTAGAATGGCGATCATTAAAAAATCTGGAGACAACAGATGCTGGAGAGGATGAGGAGAAACAGGAACACTTTTACACTGTTGGTGGGAGTGTAAATTAGTTCAACCATTGTGGAAGACAGTGTGGCAATTCCTCAAGGATCTAGAAATAGAAATTCCATTTGTCTCTGTAATCCCGTTACTGAGTATATACCTAAAGGATTATAAATCATTCTATTATAAAGACACGTGCACACATATGTTCATTGTGGTACTGTGTACAATAGCAAAGACCTGGAACCAACCCAAATGCCCATTGATGATAGAATAGACAAGGAAAATGTGGCACAGATACACCATGGAATACTATGCCACCATAAAAAATCAATGAGTTCATGTCCTTTGTAAGGACTTGGATGAATCTGGAAACCATCATTCTCAGAAAACTGACACAAGAACAGAAAACCAAACACTGCATGTTCTCACTCATAGCCGGGTGTTGAACAATTAGAATACGTAGACTCAAGGAGAGGAACATCACATACTGGGGGCAGTTGTGTTGGCCCGGAGAGCTAGGGGAGGGACAGCAGGGGGTAGGGAGGGTGGGGAGGGATAACATGGGAGAAATGCCAGATATAGATAAGGGGGGAATAGAGGCAGCAAACCACCTGGTTATGTATGCACGAATGCAACAACCCTGCATGATCCGCACGTGTACCCCAGAAGCTAAAGTAAAATAAAAATTAAAAAAAAAAAGAATTGCCCTTGCCTTTGATTTAGGAGACAGTCTTCACATTAATAAATTCCCAGTATTTTAAATGTATGTCTCTGAGTTATTCTTGCAGAGTTAATCTGCAGGAGCCTGATTGTTCTATTTGGGATCAATGTCTTCCCTGACCCAACATTCAATGTCTCAGCATCTTTAAGTTTTTCTTGGCTGTTGTTGTTTTGTTTTGTTTTTCATCACAGGAAGGCTTGAGAGAACTAAGGAAGTACAGCATTATAAATAAAATGTATGACACTAATGAGAAATAATGATCAATAGTGCTTGATGATCATGACAGACACAGTTCTTAAACTATATTTCATGAGGAATTGGCAATTATTTGGAATGAGTACTTCCAAGGTTTCCTCTCCTGGAAAAACTAAATTATAAATGCTTTTATACTTGTTTCTTCTATTTTCTTTTTGATTTGGGAAATATACCATAAAAAATTAACCTTACTTAAAGGTTTAGATTCCATGGCGTCAATAATCCCAGAACTTTGGATCTAATCAAACGCATTCCGGAGTATTATATAAAAAAACCATGATAAATTTGAGATACAGAAATCATATTTTGCATTCTAAATCATGAGAGTATACTCAATTGTTCTGTTCATTACACTGATTCAATTTTGAGTTATTTATGCTCACACATACCTACAGTGTTACTTCAAGACATGACTCTAATTTAACATACAGTACTACAGATTTTACACAACTAATGTGAAGAAGTTATTCCAAGGCCATTCAGGCAAAATCCACAATCACAAGGCAGTCACTTAATCAAGAAGAATCAAGGGGCTGAAAAGATAAAAATCTAGAACTGTTTACAGAAGTGTTTTTAGCAATACTTCAGTAAAACTTGCATTTCATATCTACAAAGAAATTAACATAAAATACCTACACGACTCTTATTCTTTTGGTATCTATAATGCTGCCTTATAACTAAATACATCAATCGATATTTTACTGTTCACTAAAGCAAAATATGAAAGCAAGACTTCAAAGGCCGTAGGTAAGCATGACACTGACATTCAATAAAACAAATGCAGTGAGACAAAAATGGTTTCATCTTTAATAACTTTTCTCACAGAATAACCATTGAAGGAATCAAACATCTCATAATAGATGCAACCTGTATAATCTCCCAAAAGTGTTAAGTTAAATACAATTCATTTTTTTTTTAAGTATACTTATTTTAATCTTAGCAAGATCTGCACAAGCACTTTAATGGTTTCTGGTGACACTGGAAATTTCTGTCATGTAAATTGTCAAATTTTTGCCTCTTGATACATTTTTGTATCTAAAAGGATGATATTGATGCTATCAAGCACCACACAAAGACAAACAAGGGTGTAAAACAGACTAAAAACATAGTAGTAATAGTCAACATAGGCATGCATTTCAGTAGACATCTACATTATTTTCTATCTCACTTTCTTTAACATTGATAACATTGTTTTTAACTGTACTTAACTTTATATAGTGAGTCTACAGTGTAAAACAGAGGAGCAACATAAAGCAATCAATTTTTTAAAAATCCTGTTTCTTTATTCAGAATTCAAAGTTTCTTTATAAACTAAATACAGCACTCGTAAAGTAGGTGGAATACGTTTATATACTGTCAATGCTCATTATCCACAAATTCTGTATTTACAAATCCAACTACTTCCTAAAATTTATTTGTAACCCCAAAATCAGTACTCGTGGTGCTTAAATGATGTTAACGGACATGAACAGAAAAATGTTCACTGTTCATGTCTGTTAACCTCACTGGTTGCACCAATTCGCAGCTTAGGTCAAAGTAACAATGAGCCTTCTTATTTAAGTTCTTATACAAGTATCGAGATGAGAAGAGGTAAAGATAATAGTGAGCAGTGCTGAGTAATGCAAGACACTCAGGCCTAGTGGACAGGGTTTGAATACCTTCTCTGATGCCTTTTAGTGAGGCCGTGTCAGAAAAGTCATCTGACACTTCTGAATCCCTTTTTCATTTTGTAAAAAAAAAAAATTGAATCTTCCCTGATGGGCTATTTTTAGAACTTACTATCATAATCTATATGATTATATATGTTTCTTCTAGGAATAATGGTTCCATATTCACAAATAGAATACGCATAGCAATTTTTATAGAACATAACTACCACAAATAATGAAAATCTGCTATATTTAATCAAGTTCAGATTTATTCAGTTTTTACGCACATGAACCTAGTAACCTAAATATATATTTGGATATGAGTGTGAATTAGGTAAATTAAACATTTTGAGTAAATGAAAACTATTGTGTAATTTTACAACTAGTTTCCTTGACTACTTATTTCTCAAAACTTTTTCTCAGAAACTTATGAGTTCAAAATATAAACACTTACTCCTGTGTTGGGGCTTGCGTGGATTTAGCTAATTCTGATGGCGAAGACACAAATGTTGAGGATTCTACCAAAATGACACTGAAATAAATGAAGAAATAATTATTTTTAGTCGATTGCAACAAAATTCAGATAACCACAAAAATTCTTCTATTTTTTCCCATCGTTCATAAAATATGCTTAGAATCAGAATAAAGTACAGTTTAAAAAAATCCATTTGCTTTCATTCTGCAACTCAAAAGATATACATTAGAAAGAAGAGAAAGATCAGGATGGAACTATGTGAAACATAATGTCTTTGTCAGCACTGAATTCTCGTAGCAAGGATATTTAGAACATAAGTGACTGGTCATGCTACATTCCAGAAACAAAGAAGAAATAACACACTGGTCTTACACATCCCCAGAGCTGTACACATTTTAAAATTTCTAAACCCATTTCCATAAAAGAAAAATATTTCTTTCAGGAGTGGACATGAGATGCGTGTAGCTAGATAACCAGTATATTAATAATTATGTCATGTTCTGAAATCACACAAGCAATAAAAAGTCTTCCTATATGACAATGCTCATACATTCAAGGAATAGTTATAGAGACACATTTGTTTCTTACTTGTAGGACATGAGGGCTATTCCTTCTCCAGGCTCCCATTTGGAGACCTGTGTTTCCGGGAGGCATGGGCCATCAATATTTTTCACCTCAGTGCATGTTGCTGAGGCTAGGTTCTGGGCAAGTGCAGTTGAGAGACAGTGAGAAGCTCCTTTCTTCTACCCAGTACCCACTCATGGACAGAAGCTCTATGAGTGTGGCACTGCTGAAAATACTGGGACCCCAATTGCCTTTTCCCCCATTTGTAAGGTGGCAGTTCCACATTCGGAGAAGCAAGTCAAAAAATCCTGAGGCTGTTTTGTCCCCTTGCTCACCTAGCACTCAGCTCCTAAAATGGAGGGTTTGCTGAAGAAAAAGTGTACCATTGTCCCCACCCCCAGCTCTAGAGTCGTGGATCGGCTATTTTCCCTGAGGAGACAAGCAGGCCTTAAAATGAATCACTCCTAATCACCTCCCAAAGAAATAATTTCATGTTCAATGAAGTCTGGAGAAATTCAAGCGAAAGTGTGCTCTCAGAAACAGTGCCAGTTATGGTGAAATACAATTGGATGGATATTGGTAGATCAACAAAGATACAGGCTAAACTATAGGGCTGTTAATTTGCTGGAGAGAACTGTTAGTTTGCTGAAAGAGACGGCTGGAAGTCCTCCTGGAATCAGGAAAAATCATAACAAAATCAGAAACAATGATTCATAGAACTGTTCTTTCAAAGAGGTCTGAAGTTGACTGAATTAGTTTAAGAGTAACTTATCCACCCCAACCCCATGCAGGGAATTTAACAAATGGGTGTGGGCAGAAAACTCCAGGGAGCCCTGCCAAAATCATTGTAATCCCGGGGTAGTTGTGGGCATACCAAAGGCTGTGGCCTTTGACAAGCAATATCAGAGGTTTAACACTATGTGTATGTAGGTTTTAGCAGGGGGAGATAGACACCACTAAAATAACCCAGCCAGTCAGTAAAAAAATTAGAAGTGCAAATAACCTTAGCAAGCCTGGGGCAGATAGAATCAGTACCTAGAATTGGCATAATATATTTTCCACAATGTCTAGTCTATTTCATAAACATTATGAAACTGCCTGCTTGAGTAACCTAGGTATCAGATTGAACAGAAATCAAATTTAAAATAGCCATTATAAATACCTTCAAAGAACTAAAGGAAACTATAAGGAAGTAAAGGAAAATATGATGACAATGTAGCATCAAATAGAGAACATCAACAGAGATCGAAATTATAAAAAAGAATCAAATGGAACTTTTGGAGATGGAAGCTACACTGAGAGAGATAAAAATTCACTCCAGGGCTTAATAGTAGATTTGACCTGGGGGGAAAAAAACTAACAAGTTTGAAGCTTGGCAGAGATTACACATTCTGAAGAACAGAGGAAAAAAAATTCAAAAAAATAAATAGAATCTGACATATGTATGGTAGGCACACCATTAAGTGCAACATGTAGGCAATGAAATTACCTGAAAAAAAAGGGAGAGAGGAAAAAGAAGAGAAAAAATGTTCAAAAAAATGAAGTTCGTGAGATGAAAGCTGAATCAGGCCACAGAAATTATTCTAGATGGTAGCAGCAATCCATGGGAATAAATGAAGAGAAAAGGAAATGATAAATAGGTTAAAATAGAAAAACTATAGCTATAAACTTGCTGTTTGTTATGGGCTGAATTTTGTCCTCTCAACTTCATATTTTGAAGCCCTAACACCGATATCTCTGAATGTGACTGTATTTGGAGAAAGAGCCTTTAAAAAGACAATTAAGTTAAGGCCCTCAGGGTGGGTCCTAATGTAATCTAAATTATGTCCTTATAAGAAGAAGGAAATTTGAAAACACAAAGAGACACCAGGGATATACATTCACAGAAAAAAAAAGACCAAATGAGAAGGCAACTATCTACAAGCCAAACAGAAAAGCTTCAGAAAAAATAAAAAATGACAGCATTTTAATCTTGGACTTCTAACTGCCAGAACGATGAGAACACAAATTTCTGTAGTTTACCCCATCTGATCTGTGGTATTTTGTTATGGAAACCCTAGTAAACCAACACACTTTCTTTCAGCTTTCTCAAAGTCATACAAATTATATAAAATAATAATTACAGCAATATATTGTTGGGTGTGTAATATTGATGTAATATGTATGACAATAACACCAGGAAAAAGAAGAAAAATGGAATAGAGCTATATAAGAATAACACTTTGTGAATCTTACCGGAATTAACCTAGCATATATCTGAAGCTGATTATGATAAGCAAAAATGTCCATGGTAAACCCTAGTGCAATCATTAAGAAAATAAATCCAAAAACATATTGAAAAAGCCATTTAAAAATTAAAATGCTGCACTAGAAAATATTCACGATTGTCAAAAATAGAAGCCATGGAGAAACAAACAAAAAACATAAAATATAGCAAACGAAATGGAAGTTGGCAAAAGTAAAACCAATTATGTCAATAATAAAAAAATTGTAAATAGATCAACTAATGCAATCAAAAGCAGTGATTAATGTAATATATACATACAATGGAATATTATTCTGACTTAAAAAAGAGGAAGTCTTGGATCTGTAACAATGTAGATGAACCTGGAGGACATTATGCTAAGTGAAGTTCGTCAGTCACGGAATTACAAATATGCATAATTCCACTGATATGAAGTGTTTATACTAGTCAAACTCACAGAAGCTAAGAAGCCCATTGTGACTGACAGTAGCTGTCAGTTTAGGGAAATGGAGAGTTGTTATTCAATGGGCATAAAATTTTAATTATACTATCATATGAAAAAGTTCTAGACATCCACTATAAAATACAGTGCCTACAGTCAACAAAATCATGCACTTCAAATTTTAAGAGGGTAGATATCACACTATATCACACTAAGTGTTTTTACCAAAAAGCAAACAAACAAATCAAAAAAACCCAAGGGACACAGAGAACTTTGAGATGTGTTGGAAATTTCTATTCCTTTGATTATGGTAATGGTATCATGGGTGTTTGCACGTGTCTAAACTCATCAAAATGTACACAGTAAATACCTGACATTCTTTCATCTAAATGTTATCTTAATGAAGCTTTTAAAACAAAACAAAAACCCCAAATCTGACAATATGCTATATACAGAAGATATACTTTAGATTAAAAGATAAAAATAGATTGAAAGTAAAAGGATGAAAAAGTATATATCATACATACAACCACAAGAATGTTGAAGCAGCTGTACTAATACAAGAGATGCTAGAATTTAAAACAAAAATTGTAAATATAGAGACATTTTATATGAACAATCAGGAAGATAAAATTACTATAAATACATATTCAGTGAATTTTAGAGCACCAAGACAGAAAGTAAAACTGACATAAATGAAGGGAGAAATGAACAGATCGACATTAATAGATACTAAATACTGTACTTTTAACTATGAAAAGAAAAATTTAGGCAGAAAATCTACAAGAAAATATAAGTCTTATACAATACTATAAACCAACTAAACTTAAGAGACACCTGTAGAACACTTTACTCAACAACAGCAGACGATATATTCTTCTTATGAGCATTCTGCAGTATGAACCTCGTGATATGCCATAAAACAAACCTTGATAAATTTAAAATGATTTAAATATACAAAGTATGCTCTCTAACTTAAATGGAATAAAATCAGTGACAGAAAAGTTCAAAATTAACAAATATGGGGAAATTAAACAACATACTCCCATATCACTGGTGGATGTGCAAGAAATCAAAAAGAAATTAAAAATAATTTAGGATTTGCCAGGCATGGTGGTTCATACTGTAATCCTAGCACTTTGGGAAGCCCAGGCAGGTGGATCACCTGAGGTCAAGAGTTCAAGACCAGGCTGGCCAATATGGTGAAATCCCATTTCTACTAAAAATACAAAAAAATTGCTGGGTGTGGTGGTGGGTGCCTCTAATCCCAGCTACTCGGGAGGCTGAGGCAGGAGAATTACTTGAACCCAGGAGGCAGAGGTTGCAGTGAGCTAAGATCATGCCATTGCACTCCAGCCTAAGGGACAAGAGCAAAGGTGTGTCTCAAAAATAATAATAATAACAATAATAATAATTATTTAAAATTGATGAAGATAAAAGTAACACATTCCAAAACATATGAGGGGAAGCTCAAGCAGTCTTTAGAGAGAAATATGTAGATATAAATGCCTATATGAAAACAATCTAATCTAATAATATAATCTAATAAAAATATAATCTAATATAAAAATAATCTAAATTTTCACCTTAAGAAGCTAGAAAAAAAGAGACATCTAAACATAAAGCAAATAGAAGGAAATAAGTAATATCCAAAGAAAAGTTAATTCAGAAATAAAACAGAGGATAGAAAAACAATACAGAACACTAAGCAAAGCAGAAGGAATTTTTAAAAAAGATCAATGAAATGACAAATTATTATCTAGACCAATGAAGATTCTAAAAGAAAAGAATTAAATAACTAAAATAAGGGCCGGAAGGAGGTACATCACTATCTACCTTCCAGAAACTGAAAAAGGATTATAAAGGAATACTATGAATGCCTCTGTGCCAAAAATATTTGATAACTTAGAAGAAATGCAGAAATTTCTGGAATAAAATAAACTAGCAACACTTATTTAAGAAGAAACAGAAATTTTGAACAGGTTCATAACAAAGAGATGGAAATGTCATGATATAAACTTCCACAAAGCAAAGCTCAGAACCAGATGGCTTCATCTGTGAATTATATCAAACATTCAAATAATTAATACCAGTCTTTCACAAACTTTTCCAAAAACTAGAATAAAAGGTAACATTTCAGAAATAATTATATAAGACTAATAGTAATCATATAAAAATAGACAAATAACTGAAAAAGGCAATCACACTATTAAATATGATAATTATACAGGCAAAAACCTCAACAAAATACTGTACTAGCAAACTAAATCTTATCAAACATAAAAAATAAAAAATCACATTATAGAGCATAAAATAGTGGTGTCTTGCAAAGAAGAATTTGAGAATCACCAGACTGGGAGCAAGTCATGGGAGTCAACAACCTGGTCAACTAAACCTATCTCTGTTAAATATAGACTGGATTGCTGTATTTGTTTAAAGTACTGTGAAATTTTGATAAAACCTGATGTATTCTTTTCACTTATGCACACAATATTTGGGAATATATCAGGATATTTTTATTTCATTTTAAAGTATGTTTAATATGAGACTGTTAATAATAACCAAGTCAATCATTTATTAAGTGTAATATTAAAAACTGGGTCATCTGTTATATTGGCTATACCTTAAAAATATTTCTATAATAATTAATTGGTCAAATTCCTTTTTATTCAATTTATTTTATCACATTAAAATTTCAAACATAATATATTCCTCTTGCACAATATTAATTTTACACACTTGAGGCTGGTTTTATATTTTTGAGTTAATTCATCTGTTGCCTAAGTTTGAGGGATATATTCATCCAAGGAAGGATGTAGTTAAAATCGCATGATTAACAATTTTGCTTCCTACCAAACCACAAACCCCCACAAGAATTAACCATTTTAATTAAATCTGAGATAAACCACAAAGACATGTTAAAATATTACTGTTATTTGAGAAATATGTATCTGTAATATTCTCCCAATTTCTGGAATATCCACATTTTCTTTCTGCTTTCACACTAGAATGTAAGACTGAATTTGTTTGATCCTGTTTTTCTCCAGAGAACTGCAGTCAGTCATTTGGCCTACTTAAGGGCATACTTTGTTTGTTTTTTGAGACGGAGTCTTGCTCTGTCACCAGGCTGGAGCACGGTAGCACGATCTTAGCTCACTACAACCTCCACCTTCCAGGTTCAAGCAACCCTCCTGCCTCAGCCTCCTGAGTAGCTGGGACTACAGGTGCACAGCAGCATGCCCAGCTAATTTTTTGTATTTTTAGCAGAGATAGGGTTGCATCATGTTGGCCAGGATGGTCTTGATCTCTTGACCTCATGATCTGCCTGCCTCGGCCTCCCAAAGTGTTGGGATTAGAGGTGTGAGCTATTGTGCCCAGCCAAGGGCATACTTTATTCCTGTGTTAGCACACCACATATTCTAAAATTTTGTGTTCCTTATACTCCAATGTATCACTTTAAAAAAATTGCACTAAATCATATTCTCTCTTACATGCATCCGTGAACCATGTATTTACCAATCACTGTTTCAAAACAATATATTTTTTAACAAAATGACCAAAATTATTAGTGAGAAATTACAAAAATCCTAGATATACAATGATTAAAAGAACTGGAAATTATCAAATACTAAAATAATAAGCATATTATAACTTCCAGTTTCAATATAAGTATCATAAGGTTTTGATATCTAAAGCTGGAAAAATCAGAAAAATCAGAGTTCCTAGCTTAATCAGCACAGAAGGTATCATTTTCCATCTTCACCCTCAACGTGGTATACATTTTCAGGAAGCTACTTTTCTATTGTGACGTTAAATAATACTTGAGAATTTTATTGTCTTTTCATCACAAATATGTATTTCTGTTATTGTTATTAAATCTTAAGATGAATGCATGTGCATTGACTATGCAGTGTAAATTGGTTACGATGCTCTAAGTAAAAATGTTTTTCTCTGCTTAAATTAATGTTTCAATTCTAGACATGAACAGAATAAAATTAGAAGTAAAAAGTTTGTTAATTATATATATATATGTGTTTTAATTGAAGGAACACTGAATCTCAACAAACAACTTACAGACAAAACTCATAAATTTAGTGTGATCATTTCAAGAAAATTGATTTACTTTCATTAGTTGTTTTTTTTTCTGATGGTGCTTAGAAGTTCATAGGAATGTGAACACATATAATTTCTGCTCAAAATGGTTCATGTTGAAGAGATGAAGAAAATTACACATGTCTCTTCAAAGTGGAGATAGCTAATTGTAATGAATTTATACCAAAACAATAACTTACCTGAAGTCCCCAGCAGTATGGAAGGGGTTTTTCACATCCACAGTGACTTCCTGCCATTGGTAACATGGGCTTTCACATTTTATAATTTCCTAAAGTAAAAAAGTAAAATCATACTACATACTAATAAAAAATGAGCTTTCTGAATTATAAAATATAAGCTGAAAAATTTATAAACCATCCATTTAATATTATACTGACAAAGCTTCACACTATCAAAAGAAATTCCATGGAGAAAAACTTTCTAGGGATTCTACAGTTTCAGAAAGATTATTTCATTGTTTTATTTTATTTTGCTTTTATTTTCTAATCTGTTTCCTGGTGACTTAAGACCATATGGGGGCATATGGGGAAGTAAACAGTTGCATGAGCTTCAGCTGTCAGATTTTCTATCCCAGAACCACCCATAACTCTTAGCCACATTGTTTCAGAGAATTTGTGTGAGAAGGTTGGGAAAAGCATATGTTCATAAATTCAGGAGGAAATAAGATCACACAAAGGAAGTGACAAATGTCCACTTCCTATTTTGAGCATCACTGTCTCAAAAGGCAATCTGTCCATATGAGCATCTCAATGCCCTCCTCACACAACAGACCACCACTCAACCATCCTACAGTCATTTTCTCTACTTACCATACTTGTGCTGCACACCTGAAATTCTTTATAATCCATTTGGAAATCCGGCAATCTAATAAAATTACTTATTCTTTACCATAGATCCATGGTAGAAATTAATATTTAGAAGAGATAATGGCTACAAAAAGTCAATCATAATAATGTCACAACCATTTTATAAAGATTTAAAAATCTCTCTTCCCCACCCTTTGCTATACACATAGAACTCTGTCTGGAATATCATCAACTCTCAACAAATGCCAGCGTTAGCCTTATCTTTTTAATAGATTTGATCCACAGGACACAAAAGATAAACTGATGAATGTTCCTTCCAGAGTACAGAAAAGTCCTTTTTTACTGCACAAACTATCAACCCTTAGTCCAAGCAAAAGCACAGACACAGCCCAGAACTGCTTTAACTTAAATCACAAGTATCCATGGCACAGGATGACTAAAGAAACAGCTGCCTAAAGATCAAACGTGGAACAATAACCATGCTTTTGATACTCCATGGTCTGATAAGAGAAACAAAGACATATAAAGTACGTAACATTTACTTACAATGGGTTTAAAATTGAGGACTTTGCCTTCAAGAGCAAATGCCACCGTCATTCCTCTTACTACATTCTCGGGTTTTGAAATTAATAGTAGTGAAGCTTCAGCAGGACGAAGAAAACGACTGTTGAATTTCACGGTGATAATAGTTTCATGTCTATTTCGTAAAAGATAAAAGGGAAAACGTTTTAACAAAAAAGACACCTTAAAATCATTTTTTCTTTTTTTTGAGATGGAGTCTCGCTCTGTTGCCCAGGCTGGAGTGCAGTTGTGTGGTCTTGGCTCACTGCAACCTCTGCCTCCCGGGTTTAAGCAATTCTCCTGCCTCAGCCTTCCAAGTAGCTGGGATTACAGGGGCCTGCCACCACACCCAGCTGATTTTTTGTATTTTTAGTAGAGACAGGGTTTCACCATGTGGGCCAGGCTGTTCTCAAACTCCTGACCTCATGATCCACCTGCCTCAGCCTTCCAAAGCGCTGGGATTACAGGCGTGAGCCACCACGCCCAGCCCACACAAGCATTTGTTTAATGTAGATCATGTATCTAGTGCCTACATCCCTCTGCAAGGTACTCACTTCAGCTGCAATTCTCAAGAAGCCTACAATCTAGTTATTGCCATCAGTTAAGCTGTCTTAATATATTTTGTAAAATCTGAAGTTACCTTTCAAATATATAATCTCTCAAATAAAGGATTTTCTAACAGTATGTTACAGGAAACCATATTCAATTTATATCCAAATGTTGATGGGAAGCTACTGAAATATTTTAAGCAGAAGAGTAGTAGGTTTAAATTTCTGTTAAAAATTACCTGGCATTGTAATATAGAAGATAGAGTTCACACAAGATTTTTAGGAGTCTATAGTGGCAGTCTAGTATAAAGATGATGTTACATTAAATTAGGGTGGAATATGTGAAGCAAGGAAAAGTATACAAGGTTTATGATACAATTGGTAAAATCAATAGGATTTGGTAATGGATTGGCTCTCCATGGAAGGTGATGAAAAGAGAAGCATTCAAGAATGACCATCATCTAAATAACATGCACTTAATGAAGGATTTTATGAACTTATACTTAAGTCTTATGAAATACATTTCAAAACAGAGTATCCTTTTTATGAGGTAAATAGCTGGTTCCATGAACAGCCTTCTCTTAAGTAGAGGTAATTATTTTTTAAATTTTGTAGTTACATTGAAGCATGTAAATGACCAGTATTCTTTTCTGAATTTGTTAGAAACTTCAGAAGCAAATGTGTAGTCTACTTCAAGTATGCTTCCTAAGTCTCCAGGCATTTCCATCATAACTATAGGCTTCATTTTAATTATCTGACCTTTTATTTTCCTTTTGCTCCAATTGCCTATCCCTGATTTAAAAAAAAAAAAAAAAAAAAAAAAAAAAACCTCCTTGATATTACATATACATTGGAAGCTACTTCAATTTAGCCTTTGGAATAGATGGAGAATAAATATGCAATACATCAATGTCAGTGCACATATGGCTCAATTAAAAGAATGAGGGAAAAAAAGAATGGTTTGCTAAATTTATACTTTCACTTTTATGACAGTAACTCTATGGTTATAGCTAAATTTAGTCATAAAGTTAGATGAAGAAATAAATATCTTTGTTTATATGCTGGTGTAGCTGTTTAACATTTTCTATATAAATAATATGTCAGAGAATTTAAATCCATAGCTGGCGGAAACAGACATTATTAACTGTGATCTAGACAGTATCTAACAAATAATGTGGTACACATAAATAGATAATTATATAATATCTGATAATGATAAAATTACTCATTTTTTGTTTAGGAAAACAAAATATTTTCTGAGTCATATTTTTAAAAACCAAATGCTATGAAATTATTTAGCCTAGCTAAAGAGAGCCACCTAAAATAATTTTATTTCAAGCCTATAAAATAAAACGCATTTAGATAAATGAGTAGCTGTTTTCTATATGTTTTCAGAATTAAGCACTGCTTCTTCTTGGAACCCTTTCTGAGTCTCCTCAAGAGTAGGTAGGCACTTCTTTTTCAATTTTCATCTAGTTCTATACACAAATAATAAATCAAATAGTTGTTGAATTATAGCTTCATTATATATTTGCTTGTTTGGCATTCTGATAGATTGTAAGCATTTGTGAGTAGTGTTGACATATTTTAATTTGCAAGTCACCAGTACTCCAAATTGAGGCAGTCATTCTTACTAATTGCTTCCTACGCATTCCAGTTATGGTACGAGGTGTTTTGCCTAAATAATCATGTTTATCACTGACAACACTGTGGGTAAATGGTCTTATCTACATTTTTCAAATAAAGAAACTGAGGCTGGATCATAGAGCCTGTACACGTCAAGATTGAAATAGAACATTTAATTGTTAAATGATATGGGGGAGTTCTAAACCACAATGGCATCTGAAACCCAGATTCATTATTTCTTTTCCTAAGAAAAATCTCATTAAATAAAGAGATTTTCAAAACACAGCTAGTTAGAGGAAACCATCACTAAATGAAGAGCAAGATGGGGTTCAGACAACCCTACTTCCTTCTATGCCGTTGTAGAATGCCAGACAATTGGGCATAAAAGCAGAATGTTTTTTCACCCTAATGTGAAGCCTACCAATTGACATACCTGTGCACATACAATATAGAAATTTACTTTTCTATTGCCATGTTATTACATATGATGAATAACCAAGTGTCAGGAGACATTAGAGCTAATCTTTCATCAGGGAACACTGAGAACAAGGTAAACAAACAAAGCAACTGACCTTAGAGAAACTTCAGGTAGAGATGAGAACTGAAAAGTCAGAGATAATTATGAAGATATGGTACCTTGGTTTAAGAACAGCATGTCATGAGATAGAAATAGCCAGAGAACAGGTGCCCTTAGCAATTTAAAGCTATATATATATTTATAAACCAGAACTCAAACCCTTGCCAGACACTGAATCTGCTAGCACCTTGATCTCTTGGACTTCCCAGACTCCGGAACTGTGAGAAATAAATTGCTGTTGTATGTAAGTTACCTATTTTACGATATATTTTCATAGTGGCCTTAATGGACTAAGAAGGAAAGTTGAAAATTAGTATTAAGAAGTGAGTGGGGGTGCTGCTGTAACAAATACCTAAATTGTCAAAGTGGCTTTGGATTTGGGTAATTGGCAGGGGCTGGAAGACTTATGAGGTGGATGACTTTTTTAAAAAGCCAACATTACTATATAAAGGCCATAAAAGGTGATTCTGGTGAAGGCTCAAAAGAATAAAGCTGGAGAGAAAGCTCTAACATTCTTACAAATTACTTAAAAGGTCATGAAAAGAATGCTGGTAGAAGTATGAACAGTAAAGGTCATCCTGATGAGGTCTCAGATGGTAATGAGGAGCGTGTTATTGGAAAACAGAGGACGAAAACCTGTGTTAAAAAGTAGCAAAGAATTTGGCTGAATAGTGTTTGCATTTCCTGGAAGATAGAACTTGTGAGTGATTACATAGAATATCTGGCTAAATAATTTTCCAAGAAAGTGTTAAAGGTGTGGATTGGCTTCTATTGAATGCTTACAGTAAAATGAAAGAAGAAAAAAATGATTTTAGAAACATAATTTTTAACCAAGAGGGAAGCAGAACTGAAAAATTTGGAAAATTCTTAGCCTATTCACATTGATAAGAATGAGAAAACAAACACGTCTGGGGGAGAACAAGGGTGTGGGCCAGAACTGTTTGAGAAGTAGATTACTATGGACCAGGAACCACCATGAAAGCCAGATGCTATTCATTAAAACAATGGAGAATTACCCAAAAACATTTCAGAGATTATCCATGCTTCCTCTCCCATCACAGGCCCAGAATGTCAGGGCCTGAGAGACAGAATAATTTTAAGAAGGGAGTATGAACAGTTATGAGACTCTGGCGTTTGCTGCCCAGCAATGCCTCAAGGCTCTACTGTCCACATTCCAGTATCATGCCCCTTGGCTGCCCCAGGTGCTTCTTCAGCAGACCCAGATGTGGCTTGGAATGTGGTAGCTGCCCATCTGATGGGCATAGGCAATAAATTAGGGAGGCATCCATGTAGTACCATTTCTACTGGTGCAGAAACCACAGAAAGCGCACGCCTCCAACTATATTTCAAAGCGTAAACTGGAGAGTCTTGGGGTCCAGTTAGAGAAATGCCATAGGGAAGGGCCACTGCAGAGTTCCCACTAAGACAATGACCAGTAGAGCTTTGGAAGCAGGTGTCCCTGAAGACCTCACACCAGTAGAAACATAGGAGCAAGATTCCAGCTCAGGGTAACCACAAACACAAGACCCAGGCACAGAATGGCCACAGAAATGGGGCTACTGCAGAGAACTGGCATGTTCCTAAACAAAGAGCTGTGGTGGGCACTGGGCTGTCTCAAAGCCACTGGAAGCAGGACCACCACTTCAGTGGTACTGGAGAACAGTTTCAAGTCAAAGAAGATTATTCTGGTGCCATAAGATTTAATGTTATTTGTCCTGTTTAGTTTTGGTCACACTTGGGACCTGTTACCGCTTTCTTCTTTCCTATTTCCCCCTTTTTGAATAGAAATGTCCACCCCGTGCCTGTTCCATCATTGTATTTTGGAAGCATATAACTTATTTTACTTCACAGAATCACAACTGGAAAACAATTTGCCTCAGGAAGAATAATACTTTAAGTCTCACCCATTTCAGGGGAGATGTTAATCAAAGGGTACAAACATGAAGATATAACTTGAATAAGTTCTGGAGACCCAGTTTACATCAAAGTGACTATAACTAATAATAATGTATTTTATACTTGACATGTGTTAAGAAAGTGTATCTTACGTATTCTCACAAGACACAGACAAAAAGCAACCTTTTGTGGTAATGAATATGTCAATACTTTGATTGCCATAATCATTTCACAATGTATATGTATACTAAAACATCATACTGTATACTTCGAATATATATAATTTTTATATATCAATTTACCTCAATAAAGATTAAAAAAAAGAGAGAGAAGAAAACCTAATCACCATTGCAATGGTATTAGGAGGTGGGGACTTTGGGGAGTGATTAGATCATGAGAGCAGAGCTCTCATTAATTGGATTAGTACACTTACAAAAGAAGCCCCACAGAGCTACGATGATCCTACCACCAGGTGAGGACACAGAAAGAAAGTACCATCTCTGAACTAGAAGCAAGCTTTCACAAGACACTAAATTAATCTGTGGGTGCTTTGATCTTGAGCTTCTCAGCCTCAAGAACTGTGAAAAATACATTTCTGTTGTTTATAAGCTGCCTAGTTTATGGTATTTTGTTATAGCAGCCCAAACAGACTAAGACACAATTATATCACAGATCATCAGGATTGCTTAGAAATAGTCAAAGCAATATTATATTGAATGCAAAGGGCTTTGTTGAATGTGACACACAGACAGACACACACAGATACATATGCAGGAGATGTGTGCATGTGTCAGTTTAATAAGAGTGCCAGCTTTGAATTTATATTGACTGGTTTTGAATCTCTACTTTGGCATTTAATAGCAGAACATTGGGTAATTTAATGTCTCTGCGTCCAATATCTTCTTTTGTAATATGAGGACACTAATAGGGTATTAGGTAGATTAAATATGAAGTGCATACTATATAGATATTGACATATGAAACATAAAGTTCATATGATATTTTATATAGAAAATGTTTAACAAATATTATGTTAAATAATATATGCATATATTATATAAATAAGTATATTATGCAAATACATATTTGTAAACACAAACATACACATTTGTATTTACATAAATATGCATATATTATTTAAATATATTTAAATTATGTGACTACGTAATATATGCATATGTTATAATAAACCCACATGTGCCTATAAAAAGACTGGAAAGAAATGAGCTAACAAACTGTGTTTGACATAATTTTAGGTGATTTTTGTTATACTGTTTATTTTTCTATAACTCAAATTTTCTATAGTGCACAGGTTTACATTGATAATAAAAATAACTAATGTGAATTTTGTTAACAGGAAAAGTAACCTTAAACTAAACTGTCAGAGGTTTATTGTGTTTTTTCTGTGCTTTCTTTGTTGTCATCGTTGTTGTTGTTTTCTGAGACAGTTTTGCTCTTTTTGCCCAGGCTGGAGTGCAGTGGTACAATCTCAGCTCGTTGCACCCTCCGCCTCATGGGTTCAAGCGATTCTCCTGCCTCAGCCTACCAAGTAGCTGGGATTACAGGCATGTGCCACCATGCCCGGCTAATTTTGTATTTTTATTAGAGGTGTGGTTTCTCCATGTTGGTCAGGCTAGTCTCGAACTCCTGCCCTCAGCTAATCCACCCACCTCGGCCTCCCAAATTGCTGGGATTATAGGCCTGAGCCACTTTGCCTGGCCTATTGTGGTTATTAGAAAGAATTTCCACATAGTGAAAGCTTTGAAATGCTGGAATAAGCTATTAGGTTTGTGAGTAGAAAAAATACAAGAGAAACTTCATACTCTTCACTTGTATCACTCTACTGGAAGAGTGAAGTATAGATCTCAAGTTTAAAACCTTTGAAAACAAAGTAAATGGTTATGTGACAATGTCTCAATGAACTTGTATTATTACAGTTATGTCTTATAAAAGACATATAAGAAATGTAAGTATTTTACTGTGGTCTTGGAAAATGGGTAGGTTATTTTTATTATACAAGGAATTTTATTCTAATATTTTATTTATAATAAAGAAGCAGGCAAGTATAGATTTTTTTCCTCAGGTGTAGTTTAGGTTGAATATAATATCAAACATAAATATTAAGATCTTTTTATACTCCTTTAGCATGGAGTAATAACTGAAGAAAACTAACATAGGCTAATGGCATACAACAAGGGTGCTGTTGAATATGGGTTACAGGATATTTTAAGTACAATTTAAAAAGGTCCAATTTCTTTTATTATTTCTGTGTTTGATATACTAGTACAGAAATAAAGACTCCAGCTTGAAAAGTTACTGAGTTTAATTTATAGTTAAAATCCAAAGGGATAATCGAGCAATACAACTTTAATAGTCATCTATCACATAACATTGGGGAAAGATAATTGAATGCAAAGGCAATAACTAAAATTCAGGACTAGTTAAAGTTCATTAGCAGTTATCAAATTTGTCAACTGCTGTGGTACTGACACAGCTGTTCTCATATCATCTTTGTATTATTTAATAAACAAGAGTATTTCTGTCATTAGCATATGTTGGTGTATCCAACATGATTTGTTGATCTGGGAAGACTCACATTATGCTCAGATTCAATTTTTCAAAACTATTCTTTGGTGGTTTCAATTATACTTTATTTTTGTGAGTGGGACAGTAGTAGAAACATTAAATAAGTATGATAACATCATTAGATAAAAATGATACTTTATATAACATTATCACAATTTGGGAGTATATTTACATGCATATATATCATCTATCTGTCTATCCATCATTTACACACAGGTACACAATGACTATGAGGTCACAGAGAAAAATGACAACATTGGGACTGCACTGAGGTAGGATTATCAAGCTTTTAATTTCCTGTTCTTTATACTTTCATAGTCTCTAAATTTCCTATAATGAGTACACACTGCTTTTACAATCAGTAAAAAACTATACATAACATATATATAGTTCAGGCACAGTGGCTCACCCCTGTAATCCCAGCAGTTTGTGAGGTGGAGGTGAGGGGATCACATGAGGTCAGGAGTTCGAGATCAGCCTGGCCAACATGGTGAAACCCCGTCTCTAGAAAAAATACAAAAATTAGCCAGGCGTGGTGGCAGGTGCCTGTAATCCCAGCTACTCAGGAGGCTGAGTCAGGAGAATTCCTTGATCCAGGAGGCAGAAGTTGCAGTGAGCTGAGATCGTGCCACTGCGCTCCAGCCTGGGCAACAGAGTGAAACTCAGTCTCAATAAATAAATAAATAAATCTCTCTCTCTCCCTCTCTCTCTCTCTCTCTCTCTCTCTGTGTGTGTGTGTGTGTGTGTGTGTGTGTGTGTGTATACACACACACACACATACATATATCTAAATTATATACGGACATAATTTTAGAATGTACTAGTTTCAGTTTCCTGCAGGAATTAGAATGGCAGTATACAACAAACCAATTTATAGTCTTATTTCTATGACCCATATGCATGAAAAACAAAATTAAATGCATACATAAAAAAAGCAGTTCTATGTTGTTAGAACTGTTTCGACAAATTTGGTGAGGAATTGTAGAAACATATGAATATTTGTGTGATTGTGAGTGACAACCTTTTCATTAACTATCTATCAATAGTAAAAATCAAAGTCGCATTTTATAATTATAACACATTAAATCTTTGGGGTTGATATGTCTGATAATGTAAAAATTAAAAAAAATACTTACTTTGGAAGAATTGTTACAACATTCTCTTTCTGGCAGAGGGAAAAGTCAGCAGCATCTCGTCCAACAATTCTAGCATTATACACTAAGTTTTCAGAGCTTGGATTTGTCAGTAGAATCTATGTAGACGTAGAAGAGGATATAAGCATGATTATAAAATTAAAAATTATGCAACTATATAATTTCTTATTTTTATCAAAGACATCAATACATTTTAGTCATATAGTTACTCCTAATCTAAACCAACTGGGAAAAGCCCAGAATTTATTTGTATTTTAAAATAACTACACACACAAACACACACACACACACGCACTCACACACAGTTTAGCTGAAGTGGGCAGAGAGGAGCTTTCAACAAAGGGAATTACAAATGCAAAAGCATCTTATCATCAGTGACTTGAAGACCAAAATTTGCAGCTTGGATTTTATATTTATCGCAAAGGAAAACCATTGGGGACTTTTAAAAAGGGAACTTACATATCCAATTTACAGAAATGATACTCTGGCTGCTCAGTGCAGAAAGTATTATAAGGAGTATAGATTTAAAAACAGTTTCAGGCTGAATACAATGCTGGCCTAGTCTAGAGGTGGTAGTTCAACAAATGGTTGGCTGTCTCTTTCCTTCTTATCCAGACACATGGGGAGCATTAAAAAATGAGTTGCTTTATTACAAAAGAGTACTTCTTGAAAATGTTAGCACACAACGTGTTTATGTAAAATATAATGGAGATTCAAAAAACAATCCTTAGGAAGACTGGCAAAGATTTTCTTCTCAACCACACTCTAGTAAGGTTTGTCTGAGCTATTTTTTAACTAGGCCTTACCTTTGGGCATGTCCTCAAGAGCCCAGTTTTGGTAAGAATCCTGCTAAATCAGTTTAGCCAGAATTCCGCACCTTCAGTATCCAATCACCCTTGATATCTAACCAAATTCCTCATTTCCTGCCATTGCTCAGGTGATATATGATCACCCTGGCCTTCCTTTTAGCAAAAATCTTATTTTGGTTTAGTCAGAATCCCCCCTTACACATATGTTTCCTCTTAGTTATTTCCCGCCCACTGACCTCCATTCTGCTCCTTGGCTATAAATTCCTACTTTTCCTTATTTTACTTCAAGTTGAGCTCAATCTCTCTCCTCTACTGCAAAACTGCTTTGCAGTGGTCCCTATACCTATCATAATAGTCCTGAATAAAGTCTGCCTTACCGTTTTAACAAGTGTCATGAATATTTTTTTCTTTAATAAGATGCCAAGGTATCACCAAAAGTTCTGACCCAGAGAATGGTGAAGATGGAGAAAAGGATAATTGGTCAAATTAGAGTGAATAAAAGGTGACTACAAATCATGAAGTTCAGGACCTATAGTGACAGATAGTCCAAGAGTGAAAAAGTAGCAGTAGGTATGGTTATAGTGAGTCATAAGGAATACGGTGAAAATCTGGTAAAAATTAATTACTTTCCTAGTTCAGTGGGAACTTTGGTAACCAACAGAATAAGTATGTTGTTCCTAAAGAGTTTTCAATGTTAGTTTCTTTAAGGATTCGGAGGCCTCATGTTCTCAAATACTTAAAGACATCAATTATGGGGGCAAGACCCCCACTGTAGTGTGGTATTCCACTATAGTGTGGTAATCTTTTTGTATGTTTATACATACATACAAAGGTATTGCTTTCAAATAATCATTAACAGACCAAGTGATTTTAAAACCTAGAGAGCTAATTCGTACTGTTTTGGAAGGAAATGTTGAAAATTATAGATTTGTTGTGAACTGTTTAGATCATAAGGAAACCATTCATTCTCAGTATATCACACATATCATACATATGACACAACGGTATTGAACTCATCTGTGGTCAGATAGTCATACCACCCAACTCCAGGATTTCATGTAGGGGAGATGAGGAGTAGATAGGAAGAAGAGATAGCTATTTAAGGAAACAAAAGAAAGTTTTAAAGTCTCCATTCCTTTTTTGCAATGACAGACATTATTGTGCTTGTCTGTAAATTTTGTTCCAAAAAGAATAACAAAATCCAACTGCTTTTGAATGTCTCAGAAAATCACTGTACTCTATCTTTTTTCATTGACCACTACTTTATTGTACTGGTTCTGGCATTCTATGTTTCTATTATTTGCCCATAGGTATAGAAATACTTTTTCAATTCTAGTAGCCATTTCTGGAGATTTTTCTATATTCTGTAACGTTGACAGGGTTGGTAAGAATGACTTTCTCTGACTTAGGTACTGCTATTCTAGTGTTGATTCACAGGAGCAAAATACATAAAAGATTATTAGCAATTTCCAAATCATTAATTTTCTTAAAAGTTAAAATCAAAGCTTGTTATAATTTATCTTACATATAATATATATGTATATATTATTTCATCTTTCAAAAACTTTTCTTACATTGTGAAAAATAATAGGTATATTTGTATAATTTTATCTATAATCTTAGGCATGAAGATTGTATCTAGTAAAGGAATAAAATGAGAAAATAAATCATGTTCTATATAAACATGATTTAATTTGGTTTTAACATCATAATTTAAATTTATTTTTAAACATTAGCTAGTATTAACTACTTAAAAACATTGATAACCATTGAGATGAAGAAATATAATCATGTGGACAGAATTCAAGAACTGGTAATAATAGTTAACAGTAATAAATAATACTTAATCAAATTTACACTTCTGTCTCTTGCAGTCCTAAGCAAAAACCTTTTAACTCTTCTGAAATGTTATTTCAAAGTCAAATTTCAATATAATTATAGTTCAAGGCTATTTTTCAAAAGCCCTTGAATAGCATTATAATTAGCAAATTATCATAGTAAATACTGAATTCCATGGAGTTTTATATCTTTTTCTGACAAAAAAGAAAAGAATCAAAATAAATAAAAGAGATTGAATCTCAGTATTTATTAACACAAACCTAGAATAGGAGGCTGTCTTTTCACTAGATTCAGCCCTCTACATTTTGAGATAAGAACTTGAGTGTTTTTTTTTAAACTAAATCCTTATCAACTGATGCTCACACCATCACGTAGGCTACACAGTTACCTTCTCAAAGAAGTTACAATTACAGATCAAAGATCACCACAGAATATCTTTTGAAGACCACATATGGCTAAGTTTTGCATCAAAAATATAAAATTATCCTCCTTCCCAGTTACATATGGAAAGAGACACATATAACAGCCTGAGAAAAGGAATATACATGAATCTTATCAAAGCAGTAAGTTAACTTGTATACAGAATAATATTATTTTATATTAAACCAAAATGAGTAAAAAAAGAGTCATCATTTCATTGCAAGTAGTGATTACTATTAAGCAAAATTTGCCCCTTTCACTCATCTAGACATTTGGCTTAGAAGAAGCAACATTTGATAAGCCTTATTCACTTTTAATAAAATTATGTCATATAGATGCTTGCTGTTAATTTTGGGTTGGAAAAGAAATAACTAAAATCTCTTTTTATTGTGTAACACCTTGTTCATTTTGACCCCAAAAATTATCCTTACCTCATTCAGCATTGTGTCATGTAGAGTACATTCAAAGAGCACCACTGTCTCAGGGAGGTATGTAGGGAGTCTCTCATACATGTAGACACAAAGCATGAGCATTAGGACTGGATTTGGGTCACAGATGTCTATGGCCTAGTTTCAAAGAAGATAAAGTGAAATTAGAGGAGACATTAGCTAGAGCTCTGCATAGGTACAGAATCAATAGGATATATATCTGTATATACACATACATACATATATGACAGGGAATTTATTAAGAAGAATTGGCTCAACAATCACAAAGGTGAAGTCACACAGGGTCTCTGAAGGAAGCCAGCAGCATGGCTTAGGCCAAGTCCAAAAGCCCCCAAACCAGGGAAGCTACAGTGCAGGCCCCATTCTGAGGCTGAAGGCCTGAAAGCCCAAAGGAGGCTGCTGGGTGTGAGTACTAGAGTCCAAAGGTTGAAAAACCTGGAATCAGATGTCCAAGGGCAGAAGGAGAAAAAAAAGGCATCCTGCTCCCAAAAGGAGAAAGAGCATGACAAAAATAAAAAAGAGCAAACAAACAAAAAAAATAAGCAAAATGAATCTCCTCCTTCTCCTGCCTCTTTGTTTTGGCCACCACCACTGCCAATTGGATGGTACCAACCCACATTGAGGGAATATCTTTCTTTGTCAGTCCACTGACTCCTGCATCCACCTCCTTTGGAAACACTCTCACAGACACACCTAGAAACAAAACTTTGCCAGACATCTTGGCATCCTTCAATCAAGTCAAGCTGACACCTAATATTAACCATCAAGTAAGATAAACAGATGAAAATATAAAAAGAAGAAAATCATAGTAAATCAATTACTGAATTACTTTAAAACATTTAAAATATTTGTGATTGACAATGACACTGAAATATAGATACAGCAAATAATACTGCTTTGAATCAGAAGAGCTTGACCTAGGTGTTAAAACATAAATGTGTCCTAAGTAGAACACTGATCTTCTACCCTCAGACTCCATAAAAGCTAATTGGAACTCAGAAGAATACTACACTCTAGAAATTATGACTATTACTCCTGAAGTTAAAGATGGCAAGAGATTTTCAAGCAAAGGCCCACAGAACCAATGGCACATTAAATGGGCCTCATAGAATACTTAGACTTCAAATATGTTGTGTTTGATGTGAGGAAAAGGGTGTATTTTTTCGGAAAACCAAATCACTATAGGATGAGGAGATGGAGAAGCACAGTGTTGTTCAGGAAAGAAGTTCCGTTTGGGTCACGCATAAGAAAAGACAGAAAAATTAGTGAGAGAAAAGACTTAAAGAGTGCCAGGCTACACTGTGGAGGTCTTAGATGGAAAGGTGAGGGACTTGATTTCTGAAGAAGAAAGAACATGATAATAGTTCAGGCAGATCAGGGAGGGGCAGTTAAAGAAGTACTTCTCCCAGAACAGATAAATAATAAGGCAGAGGATGTAATTACTCTGATAAACAAAACACATTAGTAATGATTACTGGAGTAGATTCGAGATAAAATCCAAAATAACAGCAGAATGGTATCAGGACAATAAACGTTGACAGAATGTAAGCTAGAGCCAAAAAGTAGAATCAGGAACAAAAGAAGGTAAAAGCAGTGAGGAGAGTTATTCACAGCACAAAAGTATTGGGGTTGGTGTGAGGAATTCAGAGACATAGAAAACACCAATAATAGACAAACAACTCTGTCATTGTCAACATAAAAAGAGCTCTCTTGTTAGATATACTGAACTCCAAGTTTCACTTCAAAGAATCGGTATATCAGTATGTTCAGCTCTCTTATTCCTTAATTCTCCATTTTAAAGTTTAACTTCCTTGTAGTTTCAGTAAACAAACTTTTCCACCAGTTCTAATCAATAGTTCACAACTGTTTCCCTGGTCCCCTACTCCATCCTGACTCATCCTGGTCAACTGCCCTGGTTACATGCTTTGACCTGAATCACCCCTGGTCACCTGCTCTGACTTGTCCCATAACTGTCTTTCCCACCAAACTACCCACCCTGCCACTCCAGCTCGTACATAGCCAATAGGGGAATGACACAGCAGCAGGGGCTACCTAAATCAGGAATAAGAACCCCTTCCCCTCACTTGTCCAGGTGTGTACTTGCCATTGCTCCATCTGTGAGATGCACCCTTCTATAGAAGTAAATTGCCTTGCTGAGGAAATTTATACTCAAGTGCTACTTCTTTTGCACCACTGAAAATTTACATGCAACACTCTGTACTTCTGCAATATGGAAATGAAGGTCTGCTATGACTTAACGGTACAGATTTAAGTTAGCAACTACACATGTTCTGGGCCTGGCCTCAAAATGCAAATAGTGTAAAAGCCAAGGAGACCCAATGTGATATGTGGAACTAATGCACTTGAGTCTGAAATTGGGCAGCAGCTTTTCAGAGAATAATGACAGCCCCACTGGTGACCTATTAGTCCACATTTCCTGATGCTCTCTTATACTTCGTGTGAAAATAGAATGGTTGGTTCTTTCTTGTTTTGTTAATTAGAAGTAAGGCTCACTAATGAAGGTGCCTGAGCAGAAGATTGACAGTAGAAAGAAAACTGGCCTGCCTTAGCAGGGTAGAAAGCTAACTGTGAATATAATTTGAGGAAAACTTGAAAATATACCAGCACCATAAAGTTTCTCTTCAGTATTTTATGGTCTCACATTCTTTAATAAAGACATTAGTCAATAGATTTAGAAAAATGATTTTACATAAGAACAATGTAAAAAACAAAATGCAGGGCTGGGTGCCATGGCTCATGCCTGTAATCCCAGCACTTTGGGAGGCCGAGGCAGATAGATCACCTGAGGTCAGGAGTTCAAGACCAGCCTGGCCAACATGGTGAAATCCTGTTTCTACTAAAATACAAAAAATAGCCAGACATGGTGGTAGGTGCCTGTAATCCCAGCTACTTGGGAGGCTGAGGCAGGAGAATCGCTTGAACCCAGGAGATGGTAGTTGCAGTGAGCTGAGATCACATCACTGCACTCCAGCCTGGCTGGCTGAGTGAGACTTTGCCACAAAAAAAAAAAAAGGGGGAGGACTCAAGATGGCGCTGTGAGAACAACCCAGGATTGAAGCTCTCGCTGGACGCACGGAGAGGGTGAGTCAGGGAAGCATTTCCAGACGGATCTTAGTTGCCCACAGAACGGGGAAATCCCCAGGTATAAAAGAGACGCAGGACGCCAGGCAGAGGTCTCCGCTGGCGTAGCCAGCAGCCGGTGCGGCTCCGGCCCGCGCCGGAGCGCAGAGGCGCTCCACAGCACTCCATACAAAAGCGCACTGTTACGGGTGCCCTGTTGAACCGGCAAACTAAGATCCGAGAGGGCTGAACTTGAGACTGAACAGGTCTTGAACTGTGACCCAGCCCAGGAAATCCCAGGGACTCAGCGTTTGGGGGAGCGCAGTGCAACAAACAAAACAGCAATTCCAAACGCTCCCGGTGAATAGGTTTTTTCTTTAAAGCGCAGCTCCGCGGGGGAGGGGCGTCAGCCATTACCAAGGCAATCAGCCCCTACTGAGGTACACGCCCATTGCTGACGCAGCCTGCCACTGCCGAGGCAACCCAGTACAACAGAGAGACTCCGCCGTAGGGCGTAGCCCATGGCAACAGGGCGGAGACCACAGAAGAAGGGCGGAGCCTGCAGGAAAAGGGCGAACCTCACACCAGCAGGGCGGAGCCTCGGCAGGCAAAAAGTGACTAGACTGCCTCCTAGCTGGACAGGACAGTGAGGCGGACACTCACAAGGAAAGCCCCAACCCCCCCCAGACAGAGCATCTGAGGAAAAAAAAGGGGTTTTCTTACGAGTTAGGTTGCAGCAGAACTAAACATAGCAGCCTAGCAGCCCTGAATGAACAACAGAGCTCACAGTTCAGCACTTGAGCTCCTACAGACTGTCTCCTCAAGCAACACCCTGACCCCTCTATATCCATAAGACTGACAATCGGCAGACATCATCCTGGGACAAACATAGCAGAAAAAGAAACTGGTAGCATCCCTCGCTGTTCCGCAGCCGCTACAGGTGCACCCCAGACAAGCAGGGCCTGGAGTGGACCTCAGCAGTCGTACAGCGAAGGGGCTAGACTGGTAGAAGGAAAACCAAGTAACAGAAATACTCCATCATCAACAATCTGGGTGTCCACTCAGAGATCCAATCAAAAAGTCAGTAACTACACAGACGACAGGTGGATAAATCCACAAAGATGGGAAGAAAACAGCGCAAAAAGGAGGAAAACACCCAAAACCAGAACACCTCGCCACCTAGAAAGGACCAAAACTCCTCACCAGCAAGGGAACAAAGCTGGACGGAGAATGACTGTGACGAAATGATGGAATTGGACTTCAGAAGATGGATAATGAGAAACTTTTGTGAGCTAAAAGACCATGTATTAAATCAATGAAAAGAAACTAAGAACCTTGAAAAAAGATTTGAGGAAATGATAACAAGAATGGATACCTTAGAGAGGAATATGAATGAATTAAAGGAGCTGAAAAACACAATACGAGAACTTCGCGAAGCATGCACAAGTTTCAATAGCCGAATTGATCAAGCAGAAGAAAGAATATCTGAAGTCGAGGATCAACTCAATGAAATAAAACGAGAAGCCAAGATCAGAGAAAAAAGCGCAAAAAGGAATGAATAAAGTCTCCAAGAAATGTGGGACTATGTGAAGAGACCTAACCTACGTTTGATAGGCGTACCAGAATGTGATGAAGAGAATGAATCCAAGCTGGAAAATACTCTGCAGGACATTATCCAGGAAAATTTCCCCCACCTAGCAAGACAGGCCAACACTCAAATGCAGGAAATACAGAGAACACCACAGAGATATTCCGCAAGAAGAGCAACCCCAAGGCACATAATCATCAGATTCAACAAGGTTGAAATAAAGGAGAAAATACTAAGGGCAGCCAGAGAGAAAGGTCAGGTCACCCACAAAGGGAAGCCCATCAGACTCACAGCAGATCTCTCGGCAGAAACTCTACAAGCCAGAAGAGAGTGGGGGCCAATATTCAACATTCTTAAAGAAAAGAACTTGCAACCCAGAATTTCATATCCAGCCAAACTGAGCTTCAGAAGTGAAGGAAAAATAAAATCCTTTGCGAACAAGCAAGCA